ACACACACACTGTACGGCACTCACAGTACACACACACACTGTATGGTACTCACAGTACACACACACGGTACGGCACTCACAGTACACACACACACACTGTACGGCACTCACAGTACACACACACACTGTACACACTCACAGTACAGACACATACTGTATGGCACTCACACAGTACACACACACTGTACGGCACTCACAGTACAGACACACACTGTATGGCACTCACAGTACACACACACACTGTACGGCACTCACAGTACACACACACACTGTATGGCACTCACAGTACACACACACACTGTACGGCACTCACAGTACACACACACACACACACACTGTATGGCACTCACATAGTACACACACACTGTACGGCACTCACAGTACACACACACACTGTATGGCACTCACAGTACACACACACACACACACTGTATGGCACTCACATAGTACACACACACTGTACGGCACTCACAGTACACACACTGTTCACGCACACTGTACAGCACTCATAGCACACACATACTATACAGTACTCACAATTAGTAAACATGATACTGTGAATACATACTGTACATTAATACAAATAAGGTTTGAGGAAAAAAATTAAAGATTAAGCATTTAAAATTTTATAAAAACATTAACTAGGATTTTACTGTGGATGGAGCTGCAGAATGTGTGACGGGGCAGTGTACTGTGTGGTTCGCTGGCATGTCTCATGAAAACCAAGTCTGGCATAATAGAACAGGCTTTGTGCCTTGTTGACAGGAACAGTGATTTTCCCACCCAAACTGGCTCCAAAAATGCATGTGCCTGTCTGCTTTTCACCTCAAATCTTTTAAGCATCTCAAGGCACATTCGAAATGGTACTTAAATTTGAGGCTGTTCTCAAACATAAGGTCACATTTTTCCATATCATTAACAATTTTTCTCAAGACAGAATTCCATTCCAGTATCATCTTCCTTCACGTAGCCAAAGCCTTCTCCATTCATTTACTGTGTGATACACAAGTTTTTAACATTGTTCTTTATAACTTCTGTAACTCCTTCAAACCCTTTGAAATTTTTAGTCTGGCCAAACATTTTCCCAGTGGTTATTCATAGTATCCTGCTTGATGCTGTCCCCCAACTGTGTCACCATAATCAAGAAGTTGTGTGTTGTGACTAATTTCTAGTAGTCCATCATGGTGGTTTCCTTGTTGGCACTGAGAGTCTTACAAGCCTTCCTAAAAAGCTGTCACGTAGTGCACCTTGGAAGTTTTTAGTATGCCCTGATCAAGGGGTTGGAAGAGAGACACAGTGTTTGGGGGCATGAAAAGAACTCCTATGTTGGAGGAGGCATTTTCGAGTTCTTCACAGCAACGATCTAGGTCATCATCTAACAATAAAACCACCATAAAGACAGTTTTCACGCTAGAGACAGTGTTTAACTCCTAAGATGAAGCAGTGGTTGAACCAACCCCCAAAATATTTCAGATGCCATCCATGCTTTCTTGTCCCATCTCCAATGGAAGTAACATATGCTTCAGGTTTTTCTCTGTAAAGTGCTCAAGACTTTTGAGCTCTGTACATCATCAAGGTTTGCAGTTAAAGGTGCCCTTGGCATTGGTACACAACAGCAACGCTGCAGTCCTTGAATAATCATGGGCTTTAGAGACCATCTGCATTTCACGGGGTCATTTGCCAATGACCTTGTAAAAGTAAGCCAGTCTCACTGATGTTTAAAACTACCTCTTTCATATAACCCTTTCCCTGCATAACACTTCACAGATACTCTTCCATAGTGTCCTGATCTGCAAAACCCACCTCACCTTCAAGTTTAACATTTTTCACACCATACTGTCTTAAAATGTGAGAGCCAAGAAGGGTTCAACACTTTCCTAATCCTAGGTAACATGCTGAGAGCTGAAAGCCTCACAACAATGCTGTTCACTACGCTTCTTTAAGATTCGTCATAATCTCATGAATCCACAAACTTTGTCACTATTCCATCTTTTCCATAGATTCACCACATACTATAGATGTTACTTTAGCACTCAGAGGGGCCTCATGTATATAGACTGGCAAAATCCCTCCTCCTTTCTTTAGATGTACTGTATTGTTGATTCATTAACATTGAACTCACATCAACAGCACTGATATAACTCACGCCTAAATGAAACTTACCTAACACGTATTTTCTCCATAAGGCACATCGAGCTTTCTTGCTCTTTAGTGACACTACACACCACTTCAGCAACATGCTGTGGGCCCTTATAAACAGCAAAACCATCAAAAAAGCACAAAAATGCAAAAAACATGGCACTAATTAGACCAAGAAAAGGACACTTGTTCCTAGCATGAGAGCTGAAATAAGAAAGCACAGCACTCCTTGCTCTACCTCAAGTGGGAACATTTACATCAGGTGACTCAAATTTTTCACCACTCTGCATATCTGCAAATGACTGTGAAAGTGTCATAGGTATTGATTTAGGGGTTACAAATAAATTCTGGCAAGTAGGCAAATTCGAAACCCACAAATAATGAAGGTTGACAGTAAAGCTGTTCCTCAGAATTCTTGGGAGACTGGTTC